AGTGCCGATGCAACTTTGAATGGTCACTAAACGAACCGTTGTAAGTCAAGGACTTCCTGTACTGGTTTCCTTCTCCTGCCTCCCACAGACATGCCGGTGGGGTAGCTAATATTGAAACGCAACGCTGTGAAAAGCTGTGTGCATTTTTTTATTATTATTTTTTATTTGATTTATATGCCGCCCTTCTCCCGAGACACAGGGCGGCTTACAATGCATTAAGCAATAGCCTTCATACTTTTGTATATTTATACAAAGTCAACTTATTGCACCCACAAACTGGGTCCTCATTTTACCCACCTTAGAAAGGATGGAAGGCTGAGTCAACCTTGAGCCTGGTGAGATTCGAACTTACAGTAATTGCAGACAGCTGGTGTTAATCACAATGCTATCAGTCTGCTGAGCCACCAGGCCCACCATTTGTACCAGCAAAGACAGAGCAGGCAGATTAGTAGTGGAAAGGAGTAAAAAGCACCTGCAGAGGCAAAGGAAGCCTTTTGGAGCCTCTCTCGCTCACTTCCTCCCAAGTGTCTGCCATTTAAACATTCAGAGAAGAGAGCCGAGAGCTGAGTCAAGGAAGCAAGATCAAAAGGGGACTATGTAGCCCAACCCAAGAAGTTTTACAATCACAAGCAGCTGAAAAACTTGGCTGCACCATAATATGGTCGTCCCACAGTACACCTCCAGCCAGATTTCTTCACCCTTATTTACACAGTCTTTACACACTTCCTGCTCTCAAACATGATACAGAACAAAGGAATCGATCTCAGGAGTGCCACTACTATAAAGCTTTCTCCTGCGGCTGCTTCCTGCATCTCTAAGTGCTATATAGCACTAGCACTTAGACTTATATACGGCTTCACAGTGCTTTTACAGCCCTCTCTAAGAGATTTCCAGAGGGACCTTGGTTGGATACCTAGCTCCTCCCTTTTTAGTCAAACCTGCTCTGGCTATATGCATAAAAGAGATAAGGGAAGACTGGCTGTGCAACCACTGATTTATTTCTGAAAAACTATAACCCAACAAGATACTGTGAAATTTTGATTTACTGAACCCTCATTTATCAGAATTTGAGTGCAACAAGGATATCCCTCTGAAAACAGGCCTGTTGTATACAAAGTGCTCAAGACAAGGCAGTTAATTCTAAGTTAGTATGACATCTTACATAGCAAGTTACCCCAATTGTACAATGGCATTTTTATGCAAATTATGCAAATTACATAATTCATAGCCACCTGCATCACTGGCATAATAGCGTTATTATGCAAATGACATCATTCACAAGGATGATGTCATTTGCATAATGTAAATGTAATTTGCCACTTAGCGGTCTGTTAAATCATAGTTTTGCCTTAATAATAAAACTCATAATTTCTATACGATTGGTGTTATTTTAAAAATAATCAAAACGATTTGCCAAGGTATAAAAATTAAAATATGTTTCCTATTTCAGGCACTCAGAGTGCCTGATTTCTGCATACATTTTCCTGGTTTGCCCAATCATTTTTCTACCTCTTCAACATGGTTTGCAGATATATCAGAAGCTTGAGATTTCATTCCAAAATAGCAGAACACCACATCTCAAAAAACAACAACAACAATAACAATCCTGATTTGATCAAGTTTAGCATCACTGAGAGAAACAGGAGGTTGCAAAAGACACTTTCTAATGCTGTGACTAATAGCAAATGGACATTTAATCTGAAGATGTTTAATCAATTTCCAGTTTCAGTTTCTGGATTGCTCTGAAATTGTAAGGTGAGCAAACTGGAATTAAAATATACAATTACTGGTGTAAAAGAATAGATGCCCTGTCACTTCTACAATTCAGGATAATCTGTGTCATTGTACCAAAGAAGATAATTAAAAAATGGGCACCTTCCTTTCCCAGAAAGAAAGTCAAGGATATTTATGTTTCCATGTATTTGCATTAAATCACTTGTGATTGGATTATACTATAAGAGAAGCATGGTATAGTATAAAGTAAAGGTAAAGGTTCCCCTGCAGATGCGTGCTAGTCATTTCCGGCTCTAGGGATGGTGCTCATCTCCATTTCAAAGCCAAAGAGCCAGCGCTGTCCGAAGACGTCTCCGTGGTCATTTGGCTGGCATGATTAAATGCCAAAGGCGCATGGAGCACTGTTACCTTCCCACCAAAATGGTCCCTATTTTTCTACTTCCGTTTTTTACCTGCTTTAAAACTGCTAGGTTGGCAGAAGCTGGGACAAGTAACAGGAGCTCACTCTGTTACGCGGCGCTAGGGATTCAAACCGCTGAACTGCCGACTTTCTGATCGACAAGCTCAGTGTCTTAGCCACTGAGCCATCACATCCTATGGTATAGTATAAGAGTCAGCAAATCATTCCTGCCTTTGAAAGTCACCAGATACTAGGTGAGAAATCCTATGATTTGGGATAATTCAATGCTAGATTTTCAGAATGATTCCAAGTAGTAAAGTTTTCTTTCCTCCTCCTTTCTGCACTGCTACAACTGAATCCAATGTCTAAATTTCCACCGTGCAAATATTTAGATATTGCCTAGTTCTTGAATTTTTAGTATTTTGTTCTTGAATTACCCACTATTCTTGGATCCTCCTCAAACTGTTTGGAAATTTAAAAATCAGACCTACCTGCCCATTTTTCCATATATTTATTTTTTTTATTTAGAGAGCAGGGCTTGTTTGGATTTAAGGTAAGCATTTGCATTTGTAAGAATAATAATAATATCTCAGGTCCTGGGGAAGGGCTTGAGAAGTGGACAAAAATGCTGAATCTGGTCCAAACATCTGGCTGACTGTGCAATCAACCAAAACAATAATAGCCAAGGTAGCAGTAGTGGGTTGCTACCAGTTCTACCCGGATTGGCGAACAGGTAGCAGCGGCAGGAGGCTCCGCCCACCCACATGCACAGAAGCAGCGCATGCACACACGAGCGCACACAAGGGAACTGGTAGCGACGGGTTTTGCAACCCACTACTGCAAGGTAGCACCAATAGAAATAGGTGGCTTGGGTGCAGTCCCAAAACAATTGGAGCACAATTGAACACCGTTGACATTGACTATTTCATCTTCAGTCAATTGCAAAAGGCAGCTTTACTTGGAACAGCTTTCGTCCTGCAACACTACCTCAACACCACCAAACATCCACATCTGTCTATTTCTGGTCCTTGGGAAGGACTTGATAGACAGACCAAAATGCCAAATCCAGTCTGAACATCTGACTGACTATGTGATGAACCGTAACAATTTTTTAAAAAATTACTCCTGCACATTGTGACAAATCTCCAAACCTGTATTTTCAAGGGTGCAAAGCCTAACTCATCTCATTTCCTTTTCTCTCATCTCTGCATTGTTGATGAAGCTTCTGGAAAATCATCTTTTCAACAGGCTCAGTGGGTAACATGAGTAAGTGGGAGGAGAGTCAAAGGAGATCCAAGGTTTAGCAGCCCTTTCCCTACGTGCCTAGGAAGACTTGCATTATGGTGCCAAGAGGGGAAGGTAAGCAGGTTAGTTCCCCACCCACCCGAAAGGAGGTAACCAAGATCTTTCCAGCGATAACACCACTTCCACTCCTATCCTTTGGCCACAAGCCAGGAGCCACTGATAATAGATATGTAGAAAACAGATGTTAGAAAAAGACCTAGAGGTCCATCAAGTCTGCCCTTTGAAGTATTATTATTATTATTATTATTATTATTATTATTATTATTATTATTATTATTATTATTATTATTATTATTATTATTATTATTTAAGATTTAATCTTCAATTCAATTCACAGTCTTGGACTGGTAAAAACTTAACAGTTCAAGTCCTAAGAGCTGTTAAGGTAACGTCTGAGTATATAGGCAGTTTCGAGTAAGGTGGTTTTTTTTGCAAAATCAGAATATTCAGGTCTGATAAGTTCAAAATTTCCATGTATCTAGGCAACCCTTTGGGTATTGCTCCAAGGGCTCCTATTACAATAGGTAATAGGTACAACTATTAATTTCTTCCTCCACAGTCACTAAACTTCAATTTGCAGATTGCGGTATTTCGTTATTTTTCTAGTTCTTTCTCTTCAATTCGTGCATCACCTGGTATTGCAATATCAATGAACCAGACTTTTTTTCTTTCCCACAATAGTGATGTCAGGTGTGTTGTGGGCCAGATGTCTGTCTATTTGGATTCGAAACTCCCACAAGATCTTGACCTGTTTATTTTCAAGAACTTTGTCAATTTCGTATTCCCAGTTATTTTTGCTGCATTCAAACCCAAACTTCTGGCAAAGCTTCCAATGTATTTTTTTGGCAACTCGATCTTGTTGTTGTTGTTATTTTTTTTGTCAGATGATGAACATGTGTTTATTTCAAGCATGTTTAAACTCAGTTACTAATGATTGACCCACTACCTCCACTGGAAGTTGGTTCCAAGCTTCCACTACTCTTTCTGTGAAGTAATGCTTTCTAACATTACTTCCTTCCTGCCAGTCTGAGGTTATGCCCCCCATTCTTGATTTTTGCTTAATATTGAAAAAAGCTGCCTTCTAGAACCTTATCCCACCTTTAATATATTTAAAGGTTTCAATCATGTCCATCCCTTTTCCCTTCTGTCTTCCAGGCTGTACATATTCAGCTCCTCCACTCTCTCCTGATATGATTTGTCCCTCAGACCTTGCAACAGAAGGCAGAAATATTTTTCTAAATGAGAGTACTGAACAATTCACTAGTTTCAATGCACTGTTTCATTCACTCCTAGCTTTTTGAAGCCTGCCACTCTCATTCTAGAAGTCTCTATTTTGCCAGCAATACAAGTGTGCGAAGAAAGCACTCTTCCCTTGCAGTGCATCAAATAATGGAATTATTATCTCTGGAAGCTGAAAACAAAAGCATTTAACGTGAGGTAAGATTTCCATCTTTCAAATACTTTATTGAAACAGCCGCCGTTTTCAACAGCATTTTCCGTTTTCAACAGCATTTTCCGTTTTCACAGGCTTGTTTCACGCTATGGGAGCAGAGCAGGGAAAGGGAAGAGAGCTTGCTCAAACACGTACTTTGCCCACAAGACCAAACACATCAAGATATTCAGAGCATCAAGAGTCAGTTTGATGCAGTCAAAGCCACAATGAAGATCTGCTTCAGTGGTATCCTGGGACAGGGCTTGATGGTTGTGCCTTGTACTTCATTTATGAATTTGGGGATTTGTTTATTTATTTATTTACCCCCTTTATTATTTTTATAAATAACTCTAGGTGGTGAATATACCTAATAACCCTTCCTCCTCCTATTTTTTCCACAAGTACAATGCTTGTGGGTTGGGCTGAGAGAAAGTGAGTAGCTCAAAGTCACTCAGCCAACTTTCATGCCTAAAATGGGACTAGAACTCACAGATTCCTAGTTTCTAGCCTGGTGCCTTAACCACTAGTTAGGCACTGGTTCTCCAAACTGCTCAAGAACATGGTGACATGTGTCAGTGTTATTTCTTCATTCTGTACCTTCCCTCAAAGAACTTGGAACATTCAGCCCAGAAAAGTTTGGAATTTGGGTGATATCTTTGGAAACCAACAGCTTTAAAAAAGGAAGAAGAAAAAGAAGCGTCATGTGGGTGGCAGACTCCCGACCAACAGAATTTCGGGTTGAGGGAGATGACTGCCAGCAAAGATTGAGGATAGTGTTTTTGGCATCAGTTGGCCCATTGTTGAACAAATGCAATGTTTGCTTAAAATTGATTCAATAGCGATTATAATTGTAGATGGTCAGCTACAAAGAGAAACAAATCAAATTAAGCAAATATAACCTGTCATAAATTACAACAATGAAATGCCTTGTGTCCAGCATGCTCACTGCCACTTTGCTCAGCTGTTAAGCCCAGGATACTCAAAGAGGTTATGAAAACATTTCATGTGGATGCCACTTCCTCCCCCACATTCTGGAAAAGTGAAGGAATTTAAAGAATCAAAGCTTCCAGTAACTGCAGTTCCAATGCGAGAGTGAGAGGTCTTCAGTCTGTTGAATGTGGAAGATTTCTCGTTGTCCAAGAAGATATCATCAAGATGAAGTTCTATACCCATCAGTTTTGTTTAGGCTCTGAGATCTACCTTCTGGAATCGAGGACAGAGGTTTCCTTGGTATAAGGAGGGAAGGAAGTTAGGAAATTGAGAGACAGTGAGTTCCAATCCCATTTTAGGCATGAAAGCCAGTTGCGTGACCAATGACTCTCTCTCAGCTCAACCAGTTCACAGGATTATTGTTGTAAGGAAAAAGAGGAGGAAGGAGTATTATGAATGTTTGCCGCCTTGAGTTACTTATAAAATGATAAAGGCAGGATAAAATGTAATAAAGAAATAGTAACATTTATATACAATCCTAGTGCAAAGACAGGTCCTCAGTAGTTCCATCTTTGCCTAGTTCTGTGGCAGTTCTGCAACAGAACTCCACTACATGGCAAATCTCAGAGTTACCACATACTGAATTCTCTTTGCAGAAAAAGTTGGTGCCAATTTCTCCAAAGTTAAAGGGTTTTCAGCATTCTGCTGTAGTGGGTTTTAATCATGCAAAATTAACTCTGCCCTCAGAACAATAGAAACTAGCACACTTTAATATCTACACATAAAAGCCAAATACATTGAGTAATTCAGTAATTTTCATACTACATTTTTAGTAATTCAATTCTTTCGTGCTACTTGTCCTTTTAGGAATGGTGTGGTACAACCTGCAGTTTGGGGATTTTGAATATCCTATTAGGATATCCTATCCGATTTCCAAAAAGGGGTGGCTTCTCAAATCACACAGCTTTGTGTAGATGCTTAACTATGTTTGTGACGGAAGTGTGTTTGCCTTCTGTTAACATCTTACTGCTGTTCTGAGCCTTATCCAGTTGATCATCAGAACATTTCATTTACTCCATCATCCATTTCTACAAATTAGGAAAGTTTATCAAGAGTAATGAGAACAACTGCCAGCACTTGCAATATCTGCAATGCAGACAAGGTAGTAGACAAAATATCTATAGTTCTATCTATAACTGTAAGCCAAAGACCCTTTTAACCTTTCCTGGACCAAACAATAAAAAGAAGCTGAGAAGTCCTGCCCCCCTCCCCCACTCCCCTGCCTTGATTTCCCCAGGTCAATGGGAAACATTTGAGAAGAGGCCGAATGCAGTTACAATCCTTTATGCAATGGCAAATGATGTGTGCTAAAGCAGACAAGTAAATTAGCTCACTGGGCATAAATAATAGAAAAATAAAATCTATCTCCTGGGGATGTAATTAAGGATTCCTCTTAAGGGTGTGGCTATGGAGACTGTCACGCTGAACTCCCATTTCCAGATTTACCATCGCAACCTCGTGCTTTCCATTGGAAAAATGCATCTTCAGAAAGATGCTCTTCTCCTCCACTCTGCAGCTGCCAGATTCATAAGAGAAATAGAGGGAAAACCCTTCAGGCCCATAATGTTTCATTAATCATTATTTATCTGGCACCAGCACTATGTACAGATAAGTCCTGAGGGAGCTCAACCAATCTCATTGTATATACATTGTGCACTGACAATAAATAAATAATAAATAATAATAAAAAATAAATAATAAATAATAATAATAATAAGTCCTCAATTTATGACCACAATTGAGCCCAAAATTTCTGTTGCTAAGCCAGACATTTGTCAAGTGAGTTTTTCCCCATTTTATGACCTTTCTTGCCACCAGTTGTTAACTGAATTACTGCAGTTGTAAGGTAACAACATGGTTGTTAAGTAAATCTGGCTTCCCCATTGACATTGCTTGTCAGAAGGTCACAAAAGGTGATTACTTGACCTTGGAATCACTGCAACCATCATAAATACGAGTCAATTGCCAAACATCTGAATTTTGATCACTTGACCATGGAAATGTTTGGTTGTTAAGTATGAAAAATGGTATTAAGTGACTTTTTTCAGTGCCGTTGTAACGCCACTAAATGAAGTATTGTAAATTGAGGACTACCAGTATTTCAATGCAAGAGTGAGTAATGTTAGTAAATTTGGTTGAAGCTTCTTCAACTTTTCCCATCAACATGTTCTGGCTTCCAATAGGTGGGAATAGCTATTTAGCCTCTGTGCAAATGTACCGACTGAGAAGGGAGGAAAGGACCTTCCAAGTAACACATCCCCACTCCTCACGTTCCCTGCCTTTTGCCTAATTTGCCTCTCTTGGGCTTTATGAGTTCTGCTCAGTTGAATTTGGAAAGACCAGTTTTACTGGAGAGCAGAGGCGGGAAGGAGCCAGTGATTTTTAACTTCACAATAAATTCACCCTCCATCTCTGTTTCCTAGCATTTGCTGGGTTTTATGTTCCTCCTTCCTCAAGCTACTCAACTGAAGGCAGGATTTATAGCTTGTCAGATTTAATCATTTTGAAGCAGGAAAAGAGTCTTTTTTAAAACCCTTTGGGATAAGAGAGGCTTGCCAGGAAATCATCAATAAGAAAAGCAACTTGGCTGTCTGTACAGCAAGACTATGAGGAAGCTACAGCCTAAATGCCCACGTACCCACAGAGGGGAGGCCCTTTAACAAGGTCAGGAGACTTTTGTTATTTTTAATGTACAAACTCAGTACGCATAGATTGTTTGTCTTTTGTTAGTCAGGCTCATCACTCTGTATAAAGCAAGAGGGACACAAAAGGACACAAAAACACTTTAAAGGACACAACAACACTTTCCTGCTGCTTCACCACGTGCATAATATAAAAATATAAAAATCACACAGACAGACACACCGAGGTATAAAGGCTGTAAGCTACCCAGAATACAGCAAGGCAGAACAGAGAAGCCTATCATTATAATAATAAATTTCTACTGACACACTAATAGAACTGGAGAACAAATACAAAACATGATTCAAAATAAAAGCTAACGTAATAACTGGGGCCAAAATAAGAGCGGGAGAAGGAATAGGAAATGAAACTGTCTCTTACAACTACAGTATGTTCTGGCAAGACAAAAGAGTAGCTGACAAACTAGAGTACCAACAAACGAAACCCAGTTCCGAAAGCAGGGATTCTTATATTTTGTGGGGCCAGGAGCTCCTAAATCAAGACATGGTTTTGTGTCACACTCACACACTCTCCTGACTAAAATTACCAGCTCAGGCTCTCACTCTGCCCGGACAAGCCACTGTTAGCTTGTTGGGACAGAGCAGACAACCATGATGGCGGCAAGCCAGCTGTATGTGGGCACTGGGCAAGCCAACTTCCCACACCTAACACTTGGTGACTGTCAGAACTCACTCCCAGTGGCTCAGGTTGAGAAATTTGGAACCTCAGGCTAACAGTCTCAACAAGACACGCACCTACCTCGAAAGAAGCCCAGAAAGAACCACCATCAGAAAAGGGGAAAATGAAAGGCATTGAGAAGTCCTCAGGGACAACCGGAGTTAGTGCAAGACTATGTACAAAGCTGTTGAAAGATGGTACCAGCACATGGGTTCTTCACACAGCCTGATCTGGTACTAGGAGCTCAAGGAGAGTCATGTATATCGAGACAGATTTCATGATCCATAATTTGCCAACACCCGTCCTAAACAAGGGACAGAATGTGAAGGAAGAGATTCAAAATGGGATGGGGGTGAGGATATTGAGGTAAAGTCTTGGAAGTTAGCATAAAGATTGGCTGGAAAGACCAGAAAACAGGAAGCTATGTTTTATGCCTTATGTGGCTTTGATTCACATTTTGAATATATAATCCATGGCTGTAATCAGGGGTCCCCCAAATCTCATTCGGCCAAAAGTAGGCCACTACTTTTTCTTTAGGGGCTGCTTTTAAAATTTTATCTTTTTCACTTTTTTAGGGCCTTGAGAAACTACAGAGGGTAATGATACCCACAACGAGTAGGTACAAATATCTTCTTTTTTTATAGGGAAGATTAGATTATAGGTTATTGTTTCTTAACTGTTTTTTTTAAAAGACAATAAATTACAGTGAAAAAAAAACTCTCAAATTTGGCCCTGATCCATGGGTAAATTCCAGCAGGTTCTGACAGGTTCTGGAGAACTGGTAGCGGAAATTTTGAGTAATTTGGAGAACCAGCAAATACCACCTCTGGCTGGCCCCAGAGTGGGGAGGGAATGGGGATTTTGCAGTATTCTTCCCCTGCCACGCCCACCAAACCACACCCATCAAGCCACACCACACCCACCAAGCCACACCCACAGAACCGTTGGAAAACAGATTGGATTTCACCATTGCCCTGATCTCTTGAGGAGTTTTGAGGACTTCAGAAATATGCTAATATCTGGGGCAAGAGGCAGGAGTGTAGAGGCACAACCTGGCTTTAGATTGTCCATCTTTGTTCTATTGTCCCTTCACAGCAAGTCCATTCTTTGCCAGGATCACCATTTTCTATGATTAGAAGAGAGAACTGTCAATCACTCAGCTCTTCTTTTTCTCTCTCACTCTCTTTCCCCAGTGCCGGTACTTTCTTTGTAAAGGAAAGCAAATTCTTTCTGTTTTTCCACAGCTCCCTTTCTCCAATCCACACATCACTCAACCATGCTCAGGTTTGGTTCTGATCACTAACAGGAAAAGCTGCTTCTGTAGTAGCCCACTTGAACTTGGTCACACGGCTACACAATGCACAGCCACAAATTGGTTTTAGCAGCCCTCCCTTTAACCTAGTTAAATTGCTATACTTTATAATGGGGTACCTTTCTTGGAAATCCTGCCAAATGCTTTCCAGACTTCACAAGTTTTCCTTGCCTTCCCTCCTACCCACCAACGCCTACTGGCTGGGATTATATGTTATCACTGGATGATTTCATACAGTAATTTCCAAAACATAATGTAAGAACAGAAACAACAATGTATATATATATACACACACACACACGTAATCTAAGTCTCAGAAGTGTTGGATGAACCTACTGCCCAAAATAATTTTTTAACAATATATGTGTGGGATGGGAACTGTTCTTTTTGTTCCATAAATATCTCTTAAACTGAATTACACACATGGGGTACGAAATAAATTTGGCAAATGAACGTATTACAATCTATATTTCCAAAAATCCCTCCTGCCCTACAAAATGTGTTTCAAAGTAGATCTCTTCAGTCTACTGCAAAAATTAAAAAGCATTATGAAGTGTTTAATTTCTGCTTGTTCCATGGATTGATGGCCCAGTTGGTAATTGCTGGAGAAGCAAAATTGCCAATTGGTTGGAAGTTGGTGACTGAAATTGCTTGCAGCAAAAAAAAAAAAAAAAGATAAGCCTAAAACATCAGGTTCGGTGACAGCTGATACCATAGGTACATATGTAGTTTCAGGCTGGTAAGAGTCAATGCTATCAGGAAGAAGGAAGATTTTATGCATATACTTTTGGAATACTTTTCCTGCCCACTACCCATCCTCTCTGAAGATGAAATTGGAACCTTCTGGCTGTAACTTTTGTTCACTATTACTGAATCAAAAAGATAGGACTTTTGACCCATCACTCCATCTACCCCAAGAAGTGAGCAGAGATTCAACCTCTTTCAACCAGTCTCAGCACCAAAGATTATGCAAGGGTACATTTCATCCAGTAAGCAAGCTGAGTGTAGCTTATAATGCTCTATCCATAACATATCTTACATTACTGATATATGTATTTATAGCGCAACAAGCTTTAACATCTTCTAATGGGCTACAGAAAGCTATCTCTTGAACCACTTAAAATAATCTGCCTACCTTCCCATTTAGAACATATATCCCAAAGTTTGTACATTGAAGTTCAGAGGGTGGAAACGTTTTGTGTGTTTCCTGGGGTCAGTTAGGGACTGAACCACACTGAGAGATTGGTGCAAAAGATGAGTCAACAATACAGGATAGCCTGTCCAGACTCACTGTTCTTCTGTGCAAAAATTCATTCCTTCTTTTCTCTCCTAAACTTTCTTATTTACTATCTTTTAGACAAAGAATAAAACCTCTCAGTTGTTGCCACTGTTAACCAAAAAAAGGAGTTGAAACCTCTTGTTAATTTCCTTAAAATCATCCCTAATGGGAATTTGTGCTCAAATTGCACATACCCAAAGTTTTGTGAAAGTTTTCAGATCTTTAATGATTCGTACAGACCTGGAAGCGATTAAGAGGAGGGGCAAACAATTCTCATTTCATTCCATACCCAAGAAAACCATAAGAAATCCTCAAGTTCATGATGCTGTTTTGGGACCACCCTGTTCACTACATCATAGAGAAAGCAATATTTGCAGCCCCCAAGCTGCCATTTCCAATGGCAGCCCCCCAGAATTTCTAGTCAATGTAGTACTCTTGTTAGATGAGAATAATATTGCCATTGTAAGACCCACACTTGGAATACTGCATCCAGTTTTGATACCTTAGTGGTGGGTTGCCCTTGGTTCAGACCGGTTCGCAAGAACTGGTAGTAAAACTGGCAGGAGGCTCCGCCCACCAACCCAGACATCATCAGGAAGCTTCTGCGCATACGCAGAAGCGCAAGCACGCGGCCCCGTTCCAAACCGGTAGTAAAGGTAAGTAGAACCCATCCCTGTGATACCATACTATAAAAAAGATGTTGAGACTCTAGAAAGAGTACAGAGAAGAACAACAAAGATGACTAGGGAACTAGAGACTAAAACATACAATGAACAGTTGAAGGAACTGGGTATGTCTAGTCTAACGAAGAGGACATGAGAAAGATACAACCTAGAAATAAGGAGAAATTTCTTGTCAGTGAGAACAATTAATTAGTGGAACAGCTTGCCTCCAGGGGTTGTGAGTACTCCATCACTCGAGGCTTTTAAGAATTGGATAGCCATTTGTCTAGAATGTTATAGATTCTCCTGCCAGAGCTTGGAGTTGAACTAGAAACCTCCAAAGTCCCTTCCAACTCTGTTATTCTGTTATTCTAAATCTGGGAATTACAATCATGGAGCACACTTGGCTAAGAAAAAATAATATTAAGAATGAAAACAGCCTTTCCCCCCCTTCTTGGGGGAAACATTGACTTTTTTGGGGGGAACAGCACATTTTCTGGGTAACAAGACAAGCTTTTGAAAATTAGGGCTGAATTTTAAAGAAGCTGGGTTTCAAAAGCACAAAATGAAAATAATGCAAAATTAACATTTTGAATGGTTAGGAAGCGGCCATTTTCACTCCTAAAAGGTTATTACATTCCCACAGTTATACCAACCTGCCAAATAGGTTCAACACTTTGCTGATCTTTTGTTTGGCCCTCTGTGAATCTTCCTTCTATAAATGATCTTTAGCCTGTCAGAATAAGAAAGTTTAGCCTCCAGAGATTAGTTCCCACTATCTCTGAGACTGAGAGGAACTATAGTTCCTATCTGAACATTAAGAGGTTCCCCAAAACCTCCAGTTTAGACTTTTGTGAAAGAAGAACCACCAGACACTTCCGAATCCGTGGCAGTATGCTTTGGCATGACCTAATTCCCAAAATGGAAGCAAAATCTATCATACTCCAAGGCAGTAATTCTCTAATAAAGGAAGACAAAGGTCTATGATCAAGATTTTTGCCTATCAACTAGTTACTGTAAAACTCAACTACAAGACGTACTTGCACAAAGAGTTAAGATTCAAGTTTAATGGCAAGCAAACAGAGATAAAGGGGAAAGCTGGAGGAGAGCCTCCGCATAAGCTGTGAGAATTACAGCTTGTTCCCGAAACTGGGCTGTCACAGTCCTGGCTGCTTGCAAAATTCTAATCAGAGCCTGAAAGCTCAAACAATCAGAAGGGAAAACCTCTTGGCAAAGATTTCCCCTGGAGAAGCAGAGCTGGTTTTGTTTACAACTTGAGAGGAAGTGGTAACTGCTCCTGTTTGTTCTTCTAGCAAAAGTTGGGGGGGGGAAGAGAAAGAAAAGGAAAGAAAGAAAGAGAGAGAGAGAGAGAGAAAGAAAGGAAGGAGAGAGGGAGGGAGGGAGGAGAGGAGCAAGGAGGGGAGAGGAAGGAGAAAAAGAAAGAATGAATAAAAGAAAGAAAGAGAAAGAGAAAGAAAAAGAAAAAGGAAGAAAGAAAGGAGGGAGGGAGGGAGGGAGGGAGGAGAGCAGCAAGGAGAGGAGAGGAAGGAGAGAAAGAAAGGGAGGGAGGGAGGGAGGAGAGGAGGAAGAGAGGAGAGGGAGGAGAAAGAAAGAAAGAATGAGAGAAAGAAAGAAAAAAGAAAGAAAAAGGAAAGAAGGGAGGAGGAGAGTAGCAAGGAGAGGAGAGGAAGGAGAGAAAGAAAGAAAGAGAGGGAGGGAGGGAGGAGAGAAGGAAGGAGGGGAAGGAGAAAGAAAGAAAGAACGAGAGAAAAAAGAGGGAGGGGGAGGAGAGGAGAGGAAGGAAAGAAAGAAACAAAGAAACAAAGAGAAAGAAAGGAAGAAAGAAAGAAAGAAAGAAAGAAAGAAAGAAAGAAAGAAAGAAAGGTTTTTATTAGAGATTTATTGCCCTGGAGTATGATAGATTTTGCTTCCTTTTTGTTTGCAAACTCTTGGGCTGAGGGTGCGTGGGGAGGAAGAGAGCAGATTGAGTTTGCTTCCCCCCAACTGCACCCCTTACGGCTGAAAAGAAATAATAGGGACAGTCCTCATTCTACTGTCAATCCCACCCTAGACTGATGCGCTACATAACTAGGTCAGAAGAATAAAAAAAAGGGGAACAATTCTAAGGCAGCTCAGGGGTGAATAATACATTTCTTTTGACTCTCCCTTAGAAAGTAGAAATGTGTTGTTCCCAAAGGAGAGCAAACCATTTACTAGCCAATTGGGAACAGTGAATACATTGAAAGGCTCTCTACAGCTCTGGCCCATGTTTGAAAACTAAGTTCTCCCCCTTTCACCTTTCACTTTTTACTAGACTCCTTTTTTCCTTTTCTTTTCTTTTCTTTTCTTTTCTTTTTTTCTTTTCTTTTCCTTTTTTTCATTTTCTATTATGCATTCCACAATTGCAGAGCCCTGTACTGTGGGAAACATCCCCAAGTGAGGAGCTTGGAGGCAGACAAGATGATCTCCCAAAACCAAAAATGGTGGTTGGATTCACCCTCTTCCCATCCTAAGAAAATTGGGCAGGATCCTACTACTTGGTGGGGGAAGGGGGGGAAGGAGATTGCTTTGTTGGTGCATGGTTATTGCAGTTTTATTAGCAATTTATTTATATTGTTTGAAAGGCTGATTCCTGAGGATGCGTAGCCTAAAAAGCAGAATATAATTAAGTGCAATTATTATGTTTTCATCTTCCAGAGAGAGAAAAAAGTAGTAGAGACAGAAATAGAGATGGAGGCCCATCTGTATTTAAGTTTTACTTCCTTATGCTTAGGATTCTTGTTTTATGTTTAGACTTAGTATGTCTTCTTTTAACTGCATAGTAAGCTGTGTAGTAAGGCTCAACCCTAGAGAACCGGCATCTATGTTCTTTGCACAGATGCCCTGTTACCTCCACATAGATGGCCACCTTTGGCTTAATAACCGTAGCCTGATGATGTCTAACAATCCACCCACTAAAGAAACAAGGGAAAAGAAAGAAGGAAAGAAAGAAAGAAGGAAGGAAGGAAGGAAAGAAAGAAAGGAAAGAAGGAAGGAAGGAAGGAAGGAAAGGAAGGAAGGAAGGAAGGAAGGAAGGAAGGAAGATCTATGTTACCTCCACATAGATGGCCACCTTTGGCTTAATAACCGTAGCCTGATGATGTCTAACAATCCACCCACTAAAGAAACAAGGGAAGGAAAGAAGGAAAGAAAGAAAGAAGGAAAGAAAGAAAGAAGGAAAGAAAGAAAGGAAGGAAGGAAGGAAGGAAGGAAGGAAGGAAGGAAGGAAGGAAGGAAGGAAGAAAGAAAGAAAGAAAAAAGAAAGAAAGAAAGAAAGAAAGAAAGAAAGAAAGAAAGAAAGAAAGAATCTCCATGCATTTTCTTCCCCTGAAGATAAGGCTTTTTCTAGGTTTCTCTATTGGTAGATGTTCAGTTCTTATGTGGATCTGGTGGCAAGGTATAGCAGGTCCCTGGAAAATCTATCTACATTTGTCTTGAGTTTCATGAGGGGAGAAGGAGTGGAATAAAGCAATAAATAAATTAGCTCCCCAAAATTAATTAAGTAAGCATTTTTTTTAAAAAAAAAAATGGTTGCGCGATTCAAACATGCAACCTGTTTCTCCATTTCCCTCCACATTTTAAATATGTCAGTCCAGAAGCTGGACTGTTGCAATTCCCTATTTAAAAGCCATGTCCTCAAGACCTCCACATTTGTCTCTCACATTGTTCAGGAAAGCAGGATGTTTGCAAATGGCCCAAACAGGAAACTTCTCTATATAAATTAATCTATTCAACCGAGCCTCCTTTTCTGACAGTCCTCAAGACAAAAAAAAAAAAGGATGAATGACTTTTGCATGATCACACAACAAAGCTGAGCTTCCTGGACATCAGCCAGTACAGACGGGGTGGTCACTCCAGCAACATCTGAGCAATGGCCAAATGCAAATGGGAAGAGGGCGTTGCACGGGATTCTCATGCAGTTAGAGAGCTAGAATTTCATACTGCAATAGGAAAGGGAAGGGAAGGGGAGAAGAGGGGAGGGGAGGGGAGAAAGGGGAACGGGAAGGAAAGGAAAGGAAAGGAGAAAGGGAAGGGAAGGGAGAGAGGAAGGGAGGGAGGGAGGGAGGAAGGAAAGAGAGAGAGAGAGAAAGAAAGAAAGAAAGAAAGAAAGAAAGAAAGAAAGAAAGAAAGAAAGAAAGAAAGAAAGAAAGAAAGAAAGAAAGAAAGAAAGAAAGAGCCATGCCAGGAAAGATTACACAAAGTCTGCAAAGGGAGGAGTGGTTTGTTTACTTTTTGTGCCATAGTCTTCTCCGACTTTTAAAACTGCAGTTCATGTTATTTTTAAAAAAAACTAGATTCCAATTCCAATTACTTCCATACATTTCTACAGTATTCCAAAAAGTTCTGATGGATTCTCTTGCTGAGAACCAGGGCAAAATGTTTCTGCCAGATTCAGGGATATTCCAGACTTAATTCACTAACAGGGTTTCTTAACTTCAAAAAGGCATCTGGAGAGACTGTGATTGAATTTACAGAGAGCATATCAATTATTGGGAGGAGGGGGGGGCAGGGAAGCAGAGTTAGAGAAGAATAGATATGATATAGGAAGTACAGTAATATCGCTTTTAGCCACAAATGGGAATGTAAGAATGGGGCAAGGGGGCTATTTTTCTTGAAAGACAAGGGATCCAGGAAAGGTGAAAGGAAGAAATTTCCCTTCGTATGCCCTTCGCCAGATCCAAGATTAGAACAAGTGCCTAGCCCTAAGTGACTCATAATCTCTTTTTCACAATGCACTTAATCTGTTGGAATCCTGGGAATAGGCCAGGCTACATAAAATAGTATTAAGGCTTGAAAGTTCCCAGCTGAGAAGTCATAGAAAGAGAAACGGGTTTTGGGGGCTGGGAGAGAGAGAGAAGCTGCAGAAATGTTTCCAATAGCAAGACTCTCATAAAGTGTGTTTATTTCGATCCAGGAATGTTCTGCCAATTGTGCCCCAGGAACAATGAATGAGTGCCCCAGATACCAGGGTGCTTGAAGGAGTGAATGAATGCCCAAGCAACAGGCTGTCCAAACCTTGTTATTCCATCCATGGAGCCATGCTGCCATCTAGTGGCCAGAGATGATTTCCATTGAAATCATATTTCCAAAACAAGTTTTGAGCGAATGCTTGGAGAAACAGAATTGCACCAAATGAGCCTTGTGGCACTTGGAAAGATTAATGTATTTATTATGGTACACGCATTTGGAGAATAAAGTCCCATTCCATCAGATGTGTGAAGTATGGACTGATTTGTAAAAGTATTTACATATACAGAGACTACACATACACACACAGACGGTATTAAGATTTTTTTTTTTTTTAAATGGCATTTTTCCAAATCAGAGATGAACATGTTGGGCTCTTGTAGGTTACTGAAAGTTCTGTATTACACACTTCTGTATTTTGGGTATTTTATTTTATGGCAAAATAGAATATGTGGATATAAATCCGACTTCAAAGCTAGTTATTGACTTTCGGTTTATTGTATCTGCATTATTATTACAGCTGTTAGCCATCTAGGCTGCTCTATGCAGAAAGACAGGATATAAACGAAACAAATGTATATACATATAAGAACCAGCAGGATAATTTTTCAGGCTCCAAGGACGCTCCATTGCTGAGCTGAAAGCTGTCGTTCTTACAGAAAGAATTTTAAATGAGTGCTCCAACAGGAAATTGATGAGTTAGAAATTCTTAAGGCTCAACTACGGAAAATTATTTTGAGTCATGCTGGAGTGGTTAACATAGCAAATCTATTACCAATTACTGCTGTTATGATCAGGTTGCTCTACTATTATTATTTATTTTATTTTGTACTTTTTGGGAGAGGGTGTAAAGTCAATATCGATTAGCTGGGGGCTGCTTAAATTAGTTCTGTTGTTTTCTTGGCAACCTTTTCAGAAGTGACTTGCTGTTTTCTTCTACTGGGGAACAAGAAATTGCCTTACCCAAGTCGTTCAGCTGACTTTGTCCTTAAGGCAGGAGTGGCACTCACTGTTTTCCAGTTTCGAGCCCGTCACTTTTAACCATAACACCAGATTGTCTCTCTGCATTGCACTACATTAAGTTCAGTGTTTAACTGAAATAAAAGTCCTGTCACAGGCTGAAATTTTTAGTTCCCGTGATGGTTTATATTAGTTCAATGGGGTTGGTTTTTTTTCATATGAAAAATAACACAGAGATATATACCAGTGGGTTGCCCCTGGTTCTGACCAGTTTGCAAGAACTGGTAGTAAAATCGGCGGGAGGCTCCGCCCACCGTCCCGGATGTCATCATCTGCGCATGCGCAAAAGCAAGGCACGCACACGAGCAAAGCGAGCACGCGCGCGTGCAATCCCGTTGCGAACCGGTAGTAATGGTAAGTAGAACCCACCCCTGATACACACTAGAGGTAAACCTTGACTTCTGGCCAAAATTGAATACAAAATTTCTGTTGCTAAGCAAAGCAGTTGTTAGGGGAATCATGCCACATTTTACAACCTTTGTTGTTGTTAAGCAAATCTGGCTTCTCCCATTGATTGTGGTCGTCAGAAGCTCCCTGGAAAGCTTGCAAATGACAATCCCAGGATGCTGCAGCCATTGTAAATACATTCCAATTGCCAAGCTCCCAAAATTTGATCATATGACTATGGGGATGCTGGAACAGTCGTTAAGTATGAGAAGTGGTCATAAGTCACTTTTTTCAGTGTCGTCGTAACTTTGACCGGTCATTAATGATTGTAAGTCGAGGACTATCTATACACAAACCTTGTGCCCTCCAGATAGGTACAGTATCTTAGGCTAAAATTCTCCAAATTGTCAAGCAGCTTTTGCTACCTTTCAAATTTCAAACACAGATTCTACCAAATGCCATCCACAATCATTACTGAATCTTGAGTAACTTCTTCTTGTTGTTGTTGTTCTATCTGAGATATACAAGCAAATTTCAGCAGCAAATTTATCTACCCAGTCTTGACATCGTTCCCAGTTGTTCTGCCCCAGCTACAGATCCCAAAGAATGCTGCACACACAAACTTCAAACAAACTCCGTTTACTGCAAAACACAGTTTTTTGCAAATGCAGGATGTTAATAAAACGCTCTTAACAGCCTGCCAGAAATTCCACAGATAAGATGAAGTCTTACTAGAGTTGGCAGAAAGCCCAGAAGCAAGGTTTGGAAAGAAAATCCAAACTCAATGATCAGCGAACGAACGACATTGTTTCTTGCAGCTTTTTACAAGCTGCAAACTTAAATAGGTTAAGGGAGTGGCCAATTAGCTCCAAGCCTTACTCTCGAGGAGACCTCCTCCTGAGGAACCACTCCTGCCTTTTGGCGGCTCTGCGTGCCCGTGCATTGAGAAGAGGCTCCTCCACTTCATCCTCTGCACTTAAAGGAGCCTCTGGAGGTTCTGAAGGCCCTGGCTGAATCCCTGCCTCTGGCACCACATCTTCTACAGCCTCCTCGCTGTCCGACTCGAGCGCCAGCTGCGCAGGCTGCTGGCGCGACACCACACCAGCCTCGTCGTCGGAATCAGCAACAATCCGTGCAGGCCGCTGGCGGGCCACAACACCAGTCTGGGGTCACTAGCTTAGTTCCATCTTAACTTAGCCATTTTACCTATACACCAGCAGAAAGGACTTTGTTATGATTTGTATGGTGATATATAAAACTGCTTCATCTGATATAAAAGTCATCAAGAAGACGACATTGGATTGAACAGAATTAAGAAACTATTATACTTTAACCTGGTGGATACAGCTGAGGCCTAGAGGACTGCTATAACTTGCTAACTTTGTTTATTTAGTAGTGATGATTTGAGACGATGATAAAACATTATTTAGATCATGATTTGAACAAAATTGAATTCATAACCATCACTGATTTTTTTCAGCCATATTTAAAAATCTAACTTTTCCAAAAACACCTTTTGTTCGAAAATGGCAAATCCTACAGCCTTAGGCTACAAAGACAGATGTTGTGAGGGAAAATATCCAACTAGTAAATCAGAGATAACCTTGGCAACTTTAAGACCACAAGTCTTAAAGTTTCCAAGGTTGGAGACCCCTGGTGTAAATCACCTTTCCTCAACTAATAACCTACAGCTTGGCCACAATAGCTGGGCCTTCCCCAAACATATTTGACCCAGTCAGATTTCCTTCCTGGGAGTTCTGGCAGGAAAGCCATCAATCACAGTCACCAGGTGAGAAGCCTCCCACCCCCCACCCTCCACTCATTTCCCAGAGATATTTGTTATTCCATGAGCCCTACACCAACAGGTACTGATCAGTTTGATGATATCACCAGTCCCTTCCCCCTTGGCTAGCAAGTAGCAATAAGGGATTTGGGGGACTTGACCACTGCTGTCAGGTTGAAGAAGGTGTATTCTGGATGGTTAAGCTTTGGCAATGTGATCTGACACGGAAATACTTCCTTTGACAGCTCCTTTTTCTCTCCAATTCTTGGATGGCCAAGGAGGCAAAACAGGGCCGTTGAAGAGGGATTGGTGTTGGGGTTCAACAGAGGTGATTGGATGAAGTTTAACCCTATGCAAGATGTGGTTTAATCTATTTTAGATGGGCTCTGGCTATAGGCTCAGGGTCTTGGGGTCTCTAGAACTTCTGTAAGACCCTGAGCTAACCATGAATAAAGCCAAGAAGTGCTATAAAACAAACTGTAGCCCATACTGAATTGGCTGATCACTCTCTGTATAGATAAGCATCTTGTGATGGCTGGCTGACAAAGACCAAAAGCTTATTATTATTATTTTTTAGTAAAATTATCAAAACACCATCCCTCCCCTCCATGGCTGTATTTCTTTCCATGCATGAAGGAGAAAAAAAGAATTAGAAGCAGCAGACAAATTCTAACTCAAGCAGCCCCATATCCCATGTCTCTGTCCAGAGCCTAGAAGGAGAACTTTTTTTTAATTAAGTCCATATATACATGCAGCTCTCAATCACAACTGAGCCCCAGATTTTCTGTTGCTGAGAGAGTTCCTAAGTGAATTTTGCCCCATTTTATGATCTTTCTTGCCAGCGTTATTAAGTGAATCGCCGCAATGGTTAAGTTGGTAACATGGTTGTTAAGTGAATCAGGCTTCCCCATGGACTCTGCTTGCCAGAAGGTCACAAAAGGTGATTGCACGACTCCTGGACAGTGCAACCATCATAAATACGACCTCTCTTGCCAGAGTTGTTAAGTGAATCCTTGCACTTGTTCAATTAGTAACATGGTTGTTAAGTCAATCTGCCTTCCCCATTGACTTTTATTTGTCAGAAGGTCGCAAAAGGGGATTACCTGACACTGAGACTCTGCAACCGTCATAAATATGAACCAGTTGTCAAGCGCCTGAATTTGGATCATGTAAACACGGTCGTAAGTGGGAAAAACACCCATAAGCCATTTTTCCCCCAGTGCTATTGTAATTTCAAGTGGTCACTAAATGAATGATTGTAAGTTGAGGACTACCTGTATATTATTATTTATTACATTTATATGCTGTCCTTTCACTATCAAGCAATTCTGGGTGCCTTACAGTTTATGGCTTCTATAGGCAGGAGATCATAAATATGTCTTGAAACTAAGTCAAAATGTTGCTGAAAACTGACAGTTTAAAGTCCCCACTACTATGGACAGCAGAGTAGAAACTTAAGTAAAGATAAAGGTTGCCCTGCACATCTGTGCTAGTCATTCCCGACTCTAGGGGGCAGTGCTCATCTCCATTTGAAAGCCGAAGAGCCAGCTGTCCAAAGACGTCTCCGTGGTCATGTGGCCGGCATGACTAAACGTCAAAGGCACAAAGAACACTGTTACCTTATTTATTTATTTATTTATTTTATTGAATTTCTATACCGCCCTACTCCCGAAGTACTCAGGGCGGTGCACAGCCATGAAATAAAACACATAGATATACAAAATTTAAAATAGAATAAAATGAATTAAATAAATTTGGCTGAATTAATACCCATAATTTAAAATACCCATAATTTTAAAATACATTAAAAATTTAAAATTTACACTTAAAAGGGAGAAGATTTAGGCGAGGCCAGCTTGATGAAATAAAAGCGTCTTCAACTCGCGGCGGAAGGTGCGCAGATCCGGAATCCTCCGTATCTCTGGGGGGAGCTCATTCCAGATCGTCGGTGCCCCCACAGAGAAGGCTCTCCCCCTAGGGGCCGACAGCCGACATTGCTTGGCCGACGGCACCCGGAGGAGCCCCTCTCTGTGGGAGCGTACTGGTCGGTGGG